ATCTATGCCATGGATCAGTAATACTGTAATTATCATTTCACTGTCTGTTGGGCTGTTCATAGTTTGTAAACCATGTCTAAGCCATTAACAAGAGCAAGCATGGATTTGGCAATGACTTTCAAAGAAGGTGGCGAGAAATCATCGTGAAAATTTGCCAGACTTGTCCTTAATTTTTCCCTCTCATCATGCTTTAGATGCCACGACAGACACACCAAGTATGGAAGGAGATTCTCTGCCAGCGCCAACTGCTGGTTCTCTTTGAATGAAAACATGTGCATCAGAGAAAAGATTCCAAGTTTTTGTGTTGATGGAGAACCTGGCCATCTAAATTGGTTTTTCCTCTTTCCTGTCAAACAGTCGTTGTCTTCAGACAATGCAGCTGCAATTTCCGGATTATCAGATATTGCGAACAGGGTGTGTCCTTCAATCTTCCTACGTTTGCAAGCTGTTTCATGATTTTCTACCCTGTTATCAGAATTTAACAAAGGGTATAAACTTCTTTGCAGTTCCTTCACATCATCCTTGTCAGCTTCATCCAAATCAGTTACGAAAGCTTCTGATTGTTCGCTTTCAAGAAAAACTGTTTCCCTTTTTTCTCCTCTGTTTTCAGAACTTGAGGTTTCAGCTTCAGCTTTATTGAACTCAGTTATTGCAGCATTTGATTGTTTGCTCTTGAGAAAGTATGGGTCTTCGCTTTGTGTCGTATTGCACTCTAAGACTTTCATTTGGTTACAGTAATATTCCTTTCCAGCAGCAAAGGCAAGATGAGCCAGTGGCATCATTGACATCCAGACGTAAGACGTGTCTTCCTCCCATTTTGAAATCTCGTTGGGGACATTCTGTTTTAGGAAGACTTCAATAAGTTCATCTATAGCAGCACAAGTGTCTCTGTCCAGCTTGACCAGAGGAGCTGAACGCAGTCTAGCCAGGAACAGACAACAGTAGTACCTGATAAACAGACATTGACACCACGAGTTAATGACAATAAGCAATACTGTCTGCCAGCCAATGATACTAGGTACTGTCTGTTATGCCTTACACTCCAATCTATTAAAAGGGAAACGTTTTACATTAAGCTGGTCTCTAACTGTTCTACAGTACATCTCCCACCTAAGAGGGGCAGCGCTGTCCTTATTAATCAGAAGCCTCTGTGTGATATTAAGCATTTTTTCCAGTGCTCCACAATCCACCAATAGCTGCGCAGATTTGACATTCCAAGTGCAACAAAGCAAGTTGTTAGAAGCGTCCTGGCTTGAAAACAATGCATATCCGGCAGGCTCTGATTGGCACCTGTCTGTTATAAAGAGTAGCTTGTCAATAACAGGAGACATTTTGGAGACTTCTTCCTGGATGTTGGAATCATACTCCACCAATCTACAAAGAAAATAAACAGAAAAAAAGATTCAAAGAATGGAAAGGCTTAAAGTAGACGATGGTGACAGGTAACATCAGTATTGGTGTGCAAGTGTCTATCATGTTTCAAAAATCTTGTAGTACTTTGATTCTCAGTTAGTGAATGGGATGTTGGTCACCTCAGGGTCAACTGATCAACTGTTGCCGAGTTGGCGTAAAGAGTTTTGACTCATTACAACGGACGTCGATATATTGACCCATACATCCACAAACAGAAAATCAGCGACATATAATACTGAACTGACACTTTGATCAGAAGTGGAATTTCTGAGCATCTTGATGACTAAATGAGCACATGCATACATCATTTTCTGGGTTTACTTACGCTCCAAGAGGTCCGAGAGCCGATTCATTTATATCAACAATCCTTCTAGCTATGTCATTTTGGCCAGTGTCTTCAAGGAGGTGTGGCTGCAGCAAGAGAGCATCAACTACTAGGGGAAACACATCCTTTGACAAAAGAAACGTCCGATCCTGGCGTGTCTCACCAAAGTCCCACAAAAAGTCCAGGCAGCGTAACTGAAGATAGAGTTGGCTTTCATTAAAGAAGTGTTTGGGTTGATCTGGACTCATGGTTGTTTGCACTGAATTTCTGTCGGTTAAAAAAAGAGCCATAAAGATTATCTAGGTGGCGATTAACGAATCTTCAAATGGTGGTCTACTTGGTATTTTGAGCTCATTCCCCCTTCCCTATGCCAGTACAAATAACATTTTGTTGCGCAGAATGTTTTATTGTTGAATCACATCAGCCTCAGTGGAACAATTCGAAATCGATTAGCGCTCGGTGGCCAGCGGTGTAATCTGCATTTACTCTTTTCTTGAACCCCATCTCATTTTTCAACGGTTCGAGGATTTTATCGTGTATTGTACTTCGAGCAACCCAACTTACCGAAGTGCTACAAAAGAGTGAAGTACACCTTGACTCCGAGATAATTGACGTTTGTCGAGAACAGTTGTTGTAATAAAGGACCGCTACGTTGTGCTTTCACGGCAAATAAGACGACAGACACAGGAACTATGGGAGAAATTTTTTTCGTGTCCGTTTTTTTTTTACACTCCAAGAAAGACAGGTGTTTGGAAACACAGAGGATTTTCTTAGTCTCGCAGCACTGGACAAGCACTGACGCTAGGAAATTCTCAGAGAACAAAGCAATCAGTTGACAGCCGGCAATGTTATGGCCGCTGAGTTCATCGAGGCTTTAAAGTGTTGTGAATTAATTTCGCCGGAATGAACTGTAAATAGCGCACGGGCGCCTTCGCAGTTATGTAAATTTTGTTTGTCCACAAGTATAAGAAATTTCGTATTCATATTTTTGAAGCATATGGTTTGTAAAATTGGTGAAGAATAAACCGTCTCTAATTTGTGGCTGGAGTCGTTCGTACCGTCTTGAGACATCCAGAGACGATCTATCTTCACTGAATACAAAGTTCTTTCAGGAACTAACCGCACACTGACTACTAAGGAGCCTTTAGCTATGAACTTGTTAAGCACATAAATTTCAGAAGATTGCGTTTTCGCTTAAGAATAGTCCGTCCAACGATCGAGAGATATCAAAGAAACATATCTAAAGATGTTCTAACTAGAGATTTATTGATCAGAGAGGAACAAAACTCAGAGTCGAGCAATTTCAACAAGGAGCCAGGTTAGTATAGTGACGAAGAAACGGAGACCGAGAATGTTGATATTAAAGATGGAAAAGTAACAGCTGTAAATATAGTCATCCCCCGAGTCGGAAAACGGTATCATTTGGAAGTTGAAGGTGATAAAGTTTCTAAATTTATTAAATCTTTCTGAAAATGCAATAGTTTCGGGCTCGCGAGCCACGACACTTTAATAAACAAATACCTTTTCTCGGAATGGGACTATTGTATCACAATATCCAACACTGAAATCTTTTCAAGCTATAGTGTCCCGATCCAGTCAAAATTATTGCACGGATGCATTTCACATTTATCCACAATTTAGTACAAATTTGAGACCTTGACCAACTTCAAAAGCAGTGAAAGTCTTCATTTGGGATAATAATATCGAATGACTATCATAACTCATTCTTTGGCTTTCAGGCAAATCTATACATCTTTGCAATGTTGTTGTGAAATCAGTTTTGTTTCAAAATTCGAATTCCTCTTTTGGCTAAGATCATGACAGTGCATGCTGTAACAAATCGCTGCTTAAAGTTACCCTGGTCCTTATCAATCAGAAGTCTCTGTGTGATATTAAGCATTTTTTCCAGTGCTCCACAATCCACCAATGGCTGCGCAGATTTGACATTCCAAGTGCAACAAAGCAAGTTGTTAGAAGCGTCCTGGCTTGAACACAATGCATATCCTGCAGGCTCTGATTGGCACCTGTCTGTTATAAATAGTAGCTTGTCAATAACTTGAGACATTTTGGAAACTTCCTCCTGGATGTTGGAAGCATACTCCACCAATCTACAAAGAAAATAAACAGAAAAAGGATTCAGTTCGAAGAATGGAAAGGCTTAAAGTGGGCAATAGTGACAGTTAACATCAGTAATGGTATGCAAGTGTCTGTCATGCTTTGATTCTCAATTAATTAGTGAATGGGATGTTGGTCACCTCTGGGTAAACTGATCAACTGTTGCTGAGTTGCGTTTTGACTCATGACGTCGAAATATTGACCCATACATTCACGAACAGAAAATCAGCGACATATAATACTGAATTCCTGAGCATCTTTGTGACTAAATAAGCACATGTAGACATCATTTTCTGGGTTTACTTACGCTCCAAAGGGTCCGAGAGCCGATTCATTTATATCAACAATTCTTCTAGCTATGTCACTTTGGCCAGTGTCTTCAAGGAGGTGTGGCTGCAGCAAGAGAGCATCAACTACTAGGGGAAACACATCCTTTGACAAAAGAAACGTCCGATCCTGGCGTGTCTCACCAAAGTCCCACAAAAAGTCCAGGCAGCGTAGCTGAAGATAGAGTTGGCTTTCGATAAAGAAGTGTTTAGGTTGATCTGGAATCATGGTTGTTTGCACTGAATTTCTGTCGGTTAAAAAAAGAGCCATAAAAATTATCTAAGTGGCGATTAACGAGTCTTCAAATGCTGGTCTACATGGTATTTTGAGCTCATTACCCCTTCCCTATGCCAGCACAAGTAACATTTTGTTGCGTAGAATGTTTTATTGTTGAATCACATCAGCCTCAGTAGAACAATTCGAAATCGATTAGTGTTCGGTGGCCAGCGGTGATATCTGCATCTCATTTTTCAACGGTTCGAGGATTTTATCGTGTATTGTACTTCGAGCAACCCGACTTACCGAAGTGCTACAAAAGAGTGAAGTACACCTTGACTCCGAGATAATTGACTTTTGTCGAGAGCAGTTGTTGTCATAAAGGACCGCTACGTTGTGCTTTCACGGCAAATAAGAAGACAGACGCAGGAACTATGGAAGAAATTTTTTTCGTGTCCGTTTTTTTTTTTACACTCCAAGAAAGACAGGTGTTTGGAAAAACAGGGAGATTACAGAGGATTTTCTCGGTCTCGCAGCACTCGGCAAGCACTGACGCTAGGAAATTCTCAGAAAACAAAGCAATCAGTTGACAGCCGGCAATGCTATGGCCGCTGAGTTCATCGAGGCTTTAAAGTGTCGTGAATTAATTTCGCCGGAATGAACTGTAAATAGCGCACGGGCGCCTTTGCAATTACGTAAATTTTGTTTGTCCACAAGTATAAGAAATTGCGAAATTCATATTTTTGAAGCATATGGTTTGTAAAATTGGTGAAGAATAAACCGTCTCTAATTTGTGGCTGGAGTCGTTCGTACCGTCTTGAGACATCCAGAGACGATCTATCTTCACTGAATACAAAGTTCTTTCAGGAACTAACCGCACACTGACTACTAAGGAGCCTTTAGCTATGAACTTGTTAAGCACATAAATTTCAGAAGATTGCGTTTTCGCTTAAGAATAGTCCGTCCAACGATCGAGAGATATCAAAGAAACATATCTAAAGATGTTCTAACTAGAGATTTATTGATCAGAGAGGAACAAAACTCAGAGTCGAGCAATTTCAACAAGGAGCCAGGTTAGTATAGTGACGAAGAAACGGAGACCGAGAATGTTGATATTAAAGATGGAAAAGTAACAGCTGTAAATATAGTCATCCCCCGAGTCGGAAAACGGTATCATTTGGAAGTTGAAGGTGATAAAGTTTCTAAATTTATTAAATCTTTCTGAAAATGCAATAGTTTCGGGCTCGCGAGCCACGACACTTTAATAAACAAATACCTTTTCTCGGAATGGGACTATTGTATCACAATATCCAACACTGAAATCTTTTCAAGCTATAGTGTCCCGATCCAGTCAAAATTATTGCACGGATGCATTTCACATTTATCCACAATTTAGTACAAATTTGAGACCTTGACCAACTTCAAAAGCAGTGAAAGTCTTCATTTGGGATAATAATATCGAATGACTATCATAACTCATTCTTTGGCTTTCAGGCAAATCTATACATCTTTGCAATGTTGTTGTGAAATCAGTTTTGTTTCAAAATTCGAATTCCTCTTTTGGCTAAGATCATGACAGTGCATGCTGTAACAAATCGCTGCTTAAAGTTACCCTGG